CTTCCCTCCTTTCTCTTCTCCCTCATCCTCCTCCTCTTCTTTTTGGTTGATTTTTTTTAGTTGCTTTGGGTTTTTTGGTTTGTTTGCTTCTGGTGTTTTGTTTTGTTTTGTTTTGTTTTGTTTTGTTTTGGGACAGGGTCTCTCTTCACAGATCTGGCTGTCCTGGAACTGACAGGGATCCGCTTGCCTCTGACTTGAGTGCTGGGATTAAAGGCATACATCACTGCAGCAGGCTCATTAAAAATTTGTGATACTATATTGCCACAAAACAGTCTACATTCACCATCTTAATGTATCATTTCATTTAGGACTTGATACTCTACCTGACTTTAAAAAAAAAAAAAGGCGGGACAGATCCCACCATTCCCAGGTGGCACCCAACTTTCGGCAACTATATCTGCATAAATCCTGAGAGAGCTTGGGAAGGGACTCTAAAGTCGAAAGAACAGAGGCTGGCACAGCTTTTTGGTAGCAGAATTTTCTTGGGTGGGCTCTGTTTGCTAGAGGCAAGAGGTTCCCTTAAGAGAGACTTCCTGACTCAGCCTTAAGGTAAACAAAACAATTAAATGGTGTTTACCAGCAGCCTGCAGCATGCATCTCAGTAGGCAGTGACATGAACCTAGAAACTCTGCAGAGTTGTGACAATAAACATGTCTCCCAGCAGTAGCCAGGCCATGAAGCTAGACTCTCAGAAAGCCAAGGAATAGGGTGAGGCCAGCCACCACTCTAATTTTAGCCATGCTGTTTAGCAGATTAAAGACATTAGTGATCAGAAAAGGATAGATATGCAGTAAAGACTGATTCAGAGTAGAAAATTCTAAATGGCTTACAGTGTGTTTAAAAACACACGTAGGCTTGGGAAATAAAAGAAAAAGGATAGAGAAAGTCCTTAAAAAAGCAATAGAGTAGCTGGGTGTGGTGGCATAAGTCTTTAATCCCAGCACTCGGGAGGCAGAGGCAGATGGATCTCTGTGAGTTTGAGACCAGCCTGGTCTACACAGTGAGTTCCAGGATAGCCAAAGATACACAGAGAAACCCTGTCTCAAAAAAAAACAAAAATTAAAAAATAAATAAATTACTAAAAAATAGGTCACGTAAAGATAGAAAATACACAGTATGGATACTGTATGTTATTGTGCTGTCTTTGAATTGTTTGACTACTGAAGTAGGAGCAACAACTGCTAAAAGACATTTGATCATAAATGCTGCTAGATTGATCCAACCTATATATCTTGAAAAAGCCTTAACTTCAAAATTAAGTCTAAGAACATGTTACTTTGAAAAAGATGTTCTGCTTTTATTTCCTCAGAAGATGAAAAGCTGTGGATTCCTTCCAGACTAATATGGTTTGATCAAGCAAGACCCCCTGAAGCAGTGGCCCAGGTGATCCAACATCCAAAACAGCTGAGACAATGTAGCTCCATAAACTACTACAGGCAGGATTTGGCTAGGTTTCTGTGGTTTCTCATGATCCCCATGGGATTGACAGCACCCCCAAACAGCAGGAAGCAGTTTGGAGAAAACTATGCCCACATTCCCAAATATTGTTTATAAACGTTTGTTTTCATTTAAATTTGGTTGGTTGAAAATGGTTAATGATCACCGTCAATCTCTTTCTAAAGAAAAATAAAAGGGAATACGATGTAGAAATGAATACTTTGCATTGGTATGGATTTTGGTTTATTGATACAAATTTAAGGTTAATTTTGTTATAGGTATATTTCTGCTCTTGCTTAGGTATTATGCTTATACAGCTCATGTAAAATGCAATATATAATTAAATACAGGTTATAGATTGTCACCTATAATAGTCAAAACTTATAGTTATGTTAGTTAGGTTTCCTTGATATACAAAGATATATTTCAAATGGATAGATATTCTTCAGACCTTTCAAAGACTCACAGAATGTGGCATTTAAAAGGGTTTATTAGGGTTTTTCATAACAATGAGACACAACTGTTCTTGGCAACACCAATTACATTAGACAGGAAGATGGGCACTGAAGAAACTCATTATGGAGTTTGCTTTCAATATGGCAAGACTAGCCATTTGGTAAAGAAACTGCTCTTGCCTGTACTGTTTAACTGTATGCTGTATAAACTGAACGTGAAGGACCCACAGGAAAGTGACTGCTGAACTTGCAAAACAAGATGGACAGTCCTTCAGGGTCCCTGCTTCATGGAAGAGTCTGCCAGACATTCTGCAGGAAGTATAGGTGGGGCTACAAGACTAGGAGAATTCTAGGAAGAGGAGACTCAGAGAGAATCTCGAAAGAGATGTCATGTAGCCGCCAAAGGAGTAACATCCCAGAGCATTCCGGGTAAGCCACAGCCTCATGACAATATAAAGTTTAATAAAAATGAGTTAATAATTAAGAGATAGATAGTCAATAAGAAGCCTTAGTCATCAGTCAAATCATTTATAATTAATATAAGTCTCTGTGTGTTTATTTGGAACTGAAGCGTGGCAGGATCAGGCTATACAGAAACTTTCACCTATAGCTGCCATATTGAAATGATTAGATAACCAGATATACAAGTTAGTTACTTAGCTTTAAATTAAGGTTAAAAAGTATCTAATAATAAAACACTACATTAAATCTCACCTTTCATATTTAGAACATGTCCCTTAAGATTATTCTGGGTAGTTAAACTATGAACACAAAAACTTTATAAACATTGAAGAACATTAAAGAGAAGACATTCAAAGTTCAGTGCTTGCAGAGAATGTTTAGTACATTTTATACTATGTCTCAGTTCTAAGAACTAAAAACCATGTTAAATATAGCATTCTTCACAAATACCTTCTAGATTTCATTCCTTTAAGATTTGTAGGTATAACTTAATTATTAATTGATCTCTTGTCATAATTCATCATTTTATTAATATAGTTAATTAGCAAATGAAACTAGAAGTAAAATGACTGATTTCAAAAAGTTTTTAAGACATAGCTTGTAAGGTTCTCCCCTGATGAAGAAAATGTACCACAGTACAACGACTATCATCACATTTTAATGGAATGGAAATCAAAAATAGTACATTTTTGTCAAGTGTCTGCACACGTGTGTTTATTATGTTCTTTGTGATCTATTTCAGGGAAATGGAAAAGGCTACACAGAAGTTTAGACTCACTTCAAAAGTGGTCATTTTCCCCAAAAGATTGTTTTCTTTATTTTTATTTAAAAATACAAAACCTCATCAAAATAAAATATGTGTTTTTGGAGAAGTACCACAAACTACTATCAGACCGTTGAAAAAAATCTAATTTGAATCACTAGTCTAAATGGGTCATTAACTCAAAAGATTTAAAATTGGCAATGTAGGGTCACGTCTTTTCCTAAAACATGTGCATCCTGTTTGTCCTGTTCTCTTCAAAGTCCAACGTATGAGGAAAGCATGAGCAGGCAGAACATAGGAGTTTCTGAAAATCTGCTATTCTGCTCCTGAAGCACCTGTACACTTAAGAAAGTGAAAACACAGTGCAAGAAATTTACTCAAGTGGGGGGGGGATGGCAGAAGGCAAGTAAGCTTATTTGCATGCCGGAGGATGGCAGCATGCTCCTTCCTGTTTACTTTCACAGCAAACACAAATCAAAACCAGCAAGACAGACCTGAAGCTAACTAACACTCCTGTGCATGACACTCACATGAGCTTCGCTTCTTTTATGAAACTAACAAGATGGGGAACTTTTCCAGACACAGATACGGGCACTGGGAAGACTGAGGCAAGAGTACCAGGAGTTTGACTCCGGCTTCTGCTGCACAGGGTCCCAGTCTCACAACGCCGGGACCTTAGCATGACCCAGCACCTTCAAGTATTTGCTTATCTCACCCATTCTGGTAACTCAATGATTAAGTCCCTCCTCTCCCAGAAGACTTCAAAAAAATAGAATAAACTGTATCTTATAACTGGGTTACCTAAATAGTGATCATAATAAAGCATAAATGCAGATGTTTAACTGCCCCAGACATTCACGATCCCTCCAATGTGTCATGAACTCAAGGACTCTGGACTTGAAAAGAGAAGGAAGGCAAGGCGTCAGAAGTGCAGTGACAGCCAGTTTGGTTTCGGCCCTCTTCAAAGCCACCAGGAAACTCACTCCAACATTCTTTCTTGATTGAAAGTAACTTTAATGTTGGTATGTGTGTTGGGGGGGCACTTTCAGCTGATAAGAGTGATGTTCATGCTGATGCTAAAGAGACTAAGGAGACCAGCTCTCCCTTGGTCACTTTCCTAGCACCACTTCCCGAACCCTTCAAGACCTCCACATCTGTTTAGAGACCAAAGAGAAAGACCTTGACTGACAAGGAGACTCTGGAGGTGTGCCTTTGGAGACTGCTAAGGCATACTCTTAAGTTCTTTTTTTTTTTCTTTTAAGAAAAACGGGGTGGGGGAGTAAGCAACATTAGGATTTGCTCATCACCAGAGGGATGATAAAATATTTATGCTTGTCCAAGACAAATTTACACGCCCCCCTCACACACACACACCCTGAAGCAAAGACAGAAATAATCCCAGGGTAGGGCTGAACAGTAAGGATTGATCCTTCTACTACAGCAGCTCTAAATCCGTTTTTCACAGGCTTGTACCAGTCTCCCCTAGTCCCTCAGAGCTCGTACACACACACACACACACACACACACACACACACACACACACACACACACACACACCATCTCTGAGCCTCCACTTCCACTTCTCCGCCTCCCTACCCCATCTTTAGTTGTGAGCGACTCTGACCAACAACCGCTCAGCCTCCAGGGCGTCCCTCTGGGTGGCGTCCCTAACACTCAGGGGGTACGAAAAAGCCTGGGGACCCAGGGCCAGCGCAGCAGCTGGGGAGCCGGTGGGTTCCTCCTTCCACACCCCTCCGCCTCAGAGAGGGTTGAGTTGTCCGGACAGGACCGCAGAGCTCAGGGAGCGGCCCCTCCCACTCCAGCCCCTCCCGAGCTCGGACACTCAGGGGTCCCCGCCTCCGCGGAAGCGAGCACGCACTCACCGGAGGTGAGCTGCATCCAGGCACAGATCTTGTACACGGTGGCTGTGTTGCAGAAGAAGAAGAGGGTAAAGCAAACGATGCAGGCGATGATGAGCATCATGGAGAGGCCGATGAAGAAGGAGGCGGCTTTGAAGGCGCCCGAGGGCAGCGTGGAGAAGTCCGTGAAGCTGCCCCTGCAGGTCAGCTCCCGGGAGAAGCCGTTGCCGATGCAGTAGTGGAAGAGCCCGAAATAGCCGGCTTGTGGGGTGTCCACGCCGTCGCCGATCCAGTAGGGCTGAATGAAGCACACCACGTTGACGATGGCAAAGCAGATGGTGAAGATGGCCCACAGCACGCCGATGGCCCGCGAGTTCCGCACATAGTTGGTGTGGTAGAGCTTGGCAGCCTCCTGAGCCGGGAGCATCGCGGCGGCGGCGGCAGCTCCAGGCATTCTCCCCCTCCTCCTCCGCCTCCCGGTCCTCCGCCTCCCCCCGCCTCTCGGGGCGCAGGAGACACACTCGCCGGGCCGCGCGCGTTGCAATTCCCCTGCCTCCGCCTCAGCCCAGCAGCACCAGTTCTAGAGTCTGCATCCTCGCTCCCGGAAGGAGGGCGGGGGGAGTGCGGAGCACCCCTCTGGCTTGCCTGGCACAGCCTCACAACACCCCCCCTCCAGCCCCGCGCCACCGCCTTCTCTCCCTCCCTCCTGGCCCCGGCTCCAGCCCTGCTCAGCACCCTCCACTCCTCTGCCTGCCGCTGCAGCTGCTGCGGCTGAAGCTGGCAAGCCCTTATGCCCCCCATTCTTTTTCCGTCACTGACCCCCTTTCCTGCAGGCACTGATGGTGCCCCGGGGCGCAAAGGACCGTGGCTACCCTGAGATGCTCCTTAAGTGGCGGACACGAGCCAGAGAAGAGGCTGTGGAGTTGGGGGAATCTAAGAGCATGCCCACAGGAATCCTAGAGGCACTCCCTGAATCCTGGAGAGTGTGCTGCCAGCCAGGAAGCTAACCCTAGGAGCTTTTCATCACCATCACCGCACAGGAACGTGCTTTGACCTCTGCGTCTCTGCAGAAAAGAAAGAGGCAGCATAGCAGGTGCAGGCGAGAAAGGGAAGGGGACATGGTGCCCAGAGAGGGTTCCCTGTCAAAACCACAGAATTGCCCCTGGCTAACTCTTTAGGGTCCCCGGGGCCCACAGATGGAAACAGGAGAAGTTGGGTAGAACTGTCGGGTAATAATGTAGTAATCATTCTGATCTTCTAATTCTAGGGAGCATGTTTCTCTTCCCACTTCCCTACTATTCAACTAAACGGATGATGGCCCACTGAAGCCCCGTGCTTCGCTTTTCTCTCCTGCAGAGCTTGCAATAGATGAGGCCTGCGTGCACAGAAGTGATTGTCAAAGAATTTTAGAGTTTGTTTGAAAACATCGGATGGTGTGGCAGGTGTTCCATTCATTACACAGATATTCATTGGCAGCCAGCGTGCGCTAAAGATACAGGGGATGGCAAGGGTGTCTTAACGCTGGAAGCATTCCCCCCTCCCCCACAACCCAAGTCTCCAGCTAACCTCCCTGAATCATCGCAAACAATGCCTTGCATAGCTGGTGTGCACCTGTGGCTGTTTCCTTGTTCTATTTACTTTCTCCAGCATTGTCATTGCTCTTTTTTAAACAGTCCTATCTACCCAAACGAGTTTCTCTGTTGCCATTGCTTACTGTTTGGTTCCTTCTGTGAAGCCAGAATGCTCCATAGCAGGGATATCTTTTCGTACAAATCATTTTAAACCCCACGACTGCTGAATTCTTTGAGCACATGGAAGGAAGAATGCCCCCCACAGACTTTCATCCTGATGTCTGTACTACATAAATGACCCTTCACTGAAAACGGGTCCAAAGCTGAAGTCATAGAGACTAGTTATGCTCTTCATCTGGTACCCTGAAGATTTGTAATTGTGTGCAGGCAGGAAAGGGAGGGGTCTTGGGATAAAGGACACACAAAATAATGAAGGGGCTTCTGCTGCAGCTGTGGAAGATCTGAAAGTGTGAGTGTGGCAATTTTACAGTGAGATCTCCTATTACAGTTCAAGACCCATCAAGTAGAGCTTTGAAAAGAGGGCGTCATTGGACAGATTGAGGGACTGTTAGCTGCGGTAAGCCAGAATTCCTATCAGGTGTAGTTGTAAACTTTCAGAAAGCCTTTAAAATATCAGAGCAATTTAGGAGAGATGCAGAAGGTGACCCAAATGTGAACCAGACCAATGTAGCACTTGATGTCTTTAAAAATATAAGTGAAGAAATCACACCTTTAGTGCATTGGCGGTAGTGACGGATGGGTCAGAACTTTGGTTAGACTCCACTCTGAGCTCCCCTATGCCTCTTGGTAAATCAGCATCTTAACTTGAGAGGAGGACAAGGAAAGGAGAAGGTAATGAGATTTGTAGGGCCAGCTGGCAAGCAGTGTATCCTAGGGCAGAGACGGCTTCAAGGCAAGAATTGACAGTAATTCCTAGTGACTCTTCCAAGCCCTCAAATCCCTAAGCCTGCTTATGTAAAGTGGTCTTCCTTTGAAATCACTGCCTTAAGAAAAACCTGGTCTTCCTGGGGCAGGAGTTGAGTTGGAGGTTTCTGGGAAGAGAAAGCTGAGAATCAAAGGGACTGGTTTCATCTTGGTGCTTAAATTGCCTTCACGGGACAGAGAAAAGACTCGAGAATGACTCAAAGGTTGTGAGTCAAAGAGCTTTTCTATTTGAGTACTGCCAAAAGAAAACCTTGTTCTTATTCTGGGTTTGGAATTGCTTCTGGCTTTGTGCTCAGAACCCTTACACCAGAAAGGCACTCTCAAAGATGTCCACTCTTGTCAACAACCACTAAGAAGTGTCCAGAGCTGGCAAGCTGTTACAATGCTCCTGTGTCTTCCCCAAAGAATCCATCATTTCTCCTTTAGGTTAGGTAAGGCATGAACTAGACCGTGCCAATAGACTTTCTATTTCCTCAGGGTCTTATACTACAGCTGATTTTCAGACTGAAGCAGGGTCCTCCAGGACTCTAGGAACTAGGGATGAGTTAAAATGCTAAATTCTATTGTAGACAATACCATCAGTGGATGTGTTCTCTACCATTCTTCTGTTACTAGCATTTCAATCTGTCCTTTGCCACCAGGAATTCCACAGGTAAAACTGATCCCATCCTTCATGTGAAATTTTTGACTTGTGTCACATAGGTCAGTGGTTCTCAGCCTGTAATTACTTAATGCAGTTCCTCATGCTATGGTGGCCCCCAACCATGAAATTATTTTGTTGCCACTTCATAACCATGATTTTGCTACTGCTATGAATCATAATGTAAATATCAGATATATAGGATATCTGATATCATTCGACCCCAAGGGGTTGCAATCAGTAGGCTGAGAACCAATGATATAGATAGACTTCAAGAGTTTGAACAGCTAAACATATGTGAGACTCTGCAATCAGCCTGTGTGACCAGGACAGCTGTTTTGGGGAGGAGGAGATAACAAAACCAGCCTGATTCATGCTACAAAGTTGCTATTGATAGAAAGGTATTTTGAAACTATAACATGATTCATAAGAGCTAAATAACTAGTAGAAGTCTGTAGCTGACAGCATAAGAAAACACTGACTGCTCAAATCTCAAATCTCACTGTTGGAAATGCTTTTCTCTTACTGCCACAAAGGGTCAGTAGTAAAATTCTGCCTTCACACTCTGGGACTATAAAAGATAAGAAACTGAACAATAGTTGGGTTGTGTTACCCTTCTGACGTCCTAAGTGAGATAAATAATAACACTTTGTTCAAATTAATCTGATGCTGCACAGGATATGCAATGTTGGGACCTAGACCTAGATCTTTTCCTTGCTGCTGGGAGCCCAGGTTCTTGAGGGTTCTGTGTCTCTTCTCTGGAATTTGGTGAGGATGAAAGGACAGAAGATGTATTCTAAGATTCCTTACTATTGTAAAATTCTATTTTACAAAGACTAAAATATCTTCTTTAGAAAATTTAAAGGAGAGAAAGAATACAGCATTTGGAAAAGTCTAAAGAAGATGTATCAGATTATGACAAAGTAGACATTGTATTCAAAATTGAAAGCCCTTTCTGAAATTGCATAGATGTAATTTTGCAAGCAAAGAGTGCTTAGAATTTCCAGATAAGTCTTTGCTTATGAACAAGGTAATAAAGAAAGAGAAAAATTCTAAATTATGTTGCTGAATTGATTTTCGGAGTTATGTCCAAGGTCACTATTAGTCCTCACTGCAGAATACAGAGATTCTGATGATTAAGCTCTTCTCACCCCTGAAGGACTCCCTTCTCTCCCCTGAGCCATTAGTCTTTCAGCACTTTCTGAAAAATCTAAATCAAATTGAAGGCCAGGTGTACTGACCGGTTTGTGCGTCAACTTGACACCAGCTAGTGTCACCAGAGAGGAAGGATCCTCAGTTGAGGAAATGCTGACATGAGATTTAGCAGTAAGGAATTTCTCAATTAGTGATCAATGGAGGAGGGCCCAGGCCATAGTGGGTGATGCCATCCCTGGGCTGGTGGTCTTGAGCTCTATAAGGTGAACTGAGCAAGCCATGGGAAGCCAGCCAGTAAGCAGCTCTCCATCAGCTCCTGCCTCCAGGCCTCTGCCCTGAGTTCCTGTCCTGACTTCCTTCAGTGATGAACATCTATATGAAAGTTTAAGCTGATTAACCTTTTCCTCCCCAACTTTTTTTTTGTCATGGCATTTCACCAAGAAAGACGGTTCTGCAGATAAAGAGGTTTGATGACCTGAGCTGGCCCCAGAATCCACATGGTAGAAGGGAAAGCAGATGCCTGCAAGCTATCCTCTGACCTCAAGATGTGCACTGCTGGGACATGAATGCGCCTGCTCTACTCAAAAACTAAACAAAAGCAAACCAAGTACAGAAATGTAAAATATCTATCATTCATTCTGAACTGGTCTCTTGGAGTTTTCCAGCTAAGGCACAGCTTGTTGGAAGTGCGCACTTTTCAGTGGGGTTCACACTGGAATGTATGACTTGGGTTCTCTGCCCTGAGCATCTCTATATACAAATCTTGTTTCTCTATTTGGCCAACATTTAGGTCTCTGGAACATCAGGTTGAGATTTTTTTAAAAGAATATCTCCAAATAACATACTTCAAAAATTTAAATCTTACAGTCCCAACACCCTTCCAAACAATATGAAAACTATCCATAGGTTTTTTTTCTCTTACAATAGTCACACAAAAATGCTAATATTGATGACTCAGTACTCTGGGCATAAGGGCACATGTCAATGTCTTCCAGGTTTTGCTGCAGAAGCTCAGCAGTGTAAAGCCACAGCTATTTTCTTCTCATCTACACCACATGGCCATTCCTGGTTGGCTGTGGTCTGTTCCATGCACTGTGCCTGACAGTGAATTTGTTATTGGGTTTGAAGGGAAAGAGAAGCTCCTACTTGCTTCACAACATTTAAGGAAGAGAACAGAGGTTGAAATGGCTCTAGCAAATTATAGACCTACAAATAAAACTGTAACCTAGACATGCTGTGAAGTATGGCATATCACGTTGCATTGGCCAAAGCTGATCAAAAGAAGCTAGAAGTCAGTGTGATAGTGACAGGCAGTTCTCACAGGAAGGAACTGGGTGAAA